AAAAACAGTCTTTTTGCTCTAGTTTTCTTATTTCAAATTTCTCAGCAAAAGTGTTTTGAGATAACTTTTAGATCTTAAGAAGGCGTAAGTTTTTGCTGCACAAAGCTTGTCAATATCTTTCGCCGATTAAGAATTATTGACGTTTTTATACTGAAAATATGCACTTTTCAAATGTTAATATCACTAGTTGGGCAAACAAAAAAAAGTTTTTTTACGGTATTTGAAAGGGCGTATGTTATTCTCAATAATATGACAAAATTGGAGGTATAACTCAATTCAAGAAAATAGCTCTAAATCGGCCAATTTAAGAGATACAAAAAAGTTATTCTGGATAAAGTTGCTTGAAATTTGCTCAGCTATAACTTTGCCCAAGAATGTATACCTTAATTTATTCAAAAAAAATAGTTAGATTTTTTATTTCAATGATAATAGGAACCACCCTAGAATTCATTGTCATAAAACTGAGGGCCTAACTATAAGGAACAACTTTGTAGAAGAGACTTTTAATTTAAAGTTTCAATTTCAGGCTCAAAACATATCATTCCACCTAAATCTGCATTCTGGACCACTGTGCATTGTTGCATGACGTGCTGTATCACCTTATAAAGATGCGGTATATTATTTTAAGCAACTTCTTCCAGAGACACCTGGCCTCTAAAACGTCAAAAAGGATAGAAAATGTTTTTGACCATCTTTATTCAGATTTGTGCCACTGTGGGGCAGTCAGGCATGGCAAATCATTTACATTCATTTCGTGCATTCATTTACATTCAATTGCCTCTAACAGAATTCCGTAAAATAATATATTAAACTTTTGTAGATTTTGATATCAGCTAAAACTTTTGTCTGTAACTCAAATCGGTACCTCTTATGCATGACGAACTAGAGCGGGCAGAACTTGTTATTACTTTTCAGTGAATGTAATTTAGATTCACTGAAAAACAATGGTGGGCTCTGTTCATTCTAGTTCATCATGCATAAGATATACAGATTTGAGTTATTGATAAAAGTTGTAGATAATTTGAAAACCTCAAAAACTGCAAAGGACAGCCCAATTGGGTTGTACGCAATGATGACGTAGGACTACGTGTTATGATATAACTACAGCAATTGTGTTTTGTGTAGGAATAGGAATTTTAGCAGGGTTCTCTCTGTTTATACTCTTTGATATGAATTTTAGTTGGGACATGTTCAGAAAATTAACTCTTTTGGAAAATGGCTTAAAGTCTTTGGAAGATGATGATGACGTGTAGGCAGCTGCGTATTCAGTGACCACATTTTCTCGGCACACCTCGGGTTTCCTCGTACATCAGACCGGACACCACCACGTCGAGTCAGACGACGAATGCAATGTTATCACACTTGCCACGACCAGTCATGCCTCCTGGTTGTTTACGGTTGAACGGGTCAATCGCAACTTATGCGAAGGCGCAGTTAGCTACCTGTTATATAGACAACCAGCTCTGCAGGTACCATATTTTCTCGTTTCCTATTGGCTGTCCACTGACAGTAACCAATGAGAAGTGAGAAAATGTGGTACCGGCAGAGCTGGTTGTCTATATAACAGGTAGCTAACTGCGCGTTTGCAGTGTGCAAGATATTACGCAATTCCATCCTTCCTATTCGCACGCGCCCGAGGATCGGAGGCGAATGCCACTTCGACTTGTTTCGTCTACTTACTACTCTCTGACGACTGTGCTGGGGAAGCAGCATATGCATGTAGGTAATTGGTGGATTTGTTAGATAATTCAACGCTTTTGGACAATGCTGGACATTTACCAGTTTTTCAATAGTTTCTTGTTGAAAATCAACATTCGGGAGTATTGTTATCGATGCGTAGCCATATTTCTGATCGATTGATGATAAAATTATTGAAATTGAACCAGGAGCAGCTGTGTTATTAACGTTCAAAATCTTTCTTAAATTGTTACATGTTCCATTTTTGGTTTTCACAAAGTGTACCCCCATATAGAAATCACAGACGTAGTCCTACGTCAAAAATTCATGCATCATTTCACGAAATTCTGTTGATGAAAAAAGTTAGAGACAAATGAATGTAAATGAATGCACCAAATGAATGCAAATGATTTGCCATGCCTGACAATAGTACTCTACAAGCTCCGTTAGCGAATAGGTTTTTGTTAGATCCCCCCTAATCATTCATTCATGGAACGGTAGGCTACCATCGGAACAGGTGGTCCATAGTGCTATTCTTAGAAGGTCTTAATGACCACTACCGACACTAATTGAAGGGATTTCATAGAAATTTCGTCAAAATTGTGGAAGTTCAGTGACTTTGGTAAAATTTCTGGGATTTTTTAAAAGTCTCAGCTCAGGTTTGTTAAACTTCAGCATACCTTTTAAAAAATTTAGGTTTTGAATTGATAGCTTCTTGGTAAGTTTACCTTAGATTATATACATTTGGCAGAATTTTGCTTTAAACTTCTTTGTGCATTGGGGTCATTTTTAGTCTGGATGTAATTTTTTGACGTAGGACTACGTCTTTAATTTCTATACTGGGGGTCACAATAAAAAATCAAAATTCAGACATGTAACGAAAAATCTCAAACCCGGACGTAACAATAGAATGCAAATCGAACACACGACAAATTGCACATGCTCACATGAGCGTGCTCACCGCTCGCTTGACCGCTTGACCGAGGAGAAAAGCAGCGGTAATAAAAACGCTTGCCAAATTGTTTTCTTCGTCATTTGCTTTCGAGCAACGGACGGATAAGCGTCGGACACGACGTATGAGTGGAACAGCACGCATCGCATCAATACGAAGACGACGACGAATGCACCCACATCGACCGAAGGAAAGGCTTTCAGCGTTAGGCAGCATGACTGGGCTGCCTTCATCCAATTGACTTCGACTTGCACTGGTGTGAAAAAGTCAAGTAGCAATAGTTGTTCTTTGACAACAATCAAATTCAATGCTGTTCAGAGCACGCCTTGCTCGGGTGTGAATGCTGCCATATACATACTTGCAACTAGGAATGCTCTAACGAAAAATACTCCAAAAGGGAGGAGCCTAATTAGCTATTCTGCAAGTATAAAACAGACTGTAATTCAGTGAACGTGAACAGTTGCTATTCCATTAGCTGTGGGGACAGGTGTCACAACTAATTTGAAAGACTCAGAAAGTGGACGTGGACATCGGAATGAGAAGCATTATTAACGGCAACGACATCCTTCGAACGTTACACAGCTGAGTTTGACAGGAAAGCCAACTGAGTATGCTTTCTCTTGAGATACCTAAGTACACCAGTTTGTTCGCTTCGATCTAAAATGGCAGTTTCATTTGCGACGGAGATGGTTACCACAAATTTGGTAGGACCCTGCAGGACGCGGACATCGGAGGGTCTCTGAGTAGTTTCACAATCTTTCGAACGATCCACTGCAGTCGTTCCGTTAGGCTGACTACAACATTGATCACCTGCAAAATTTCAACCGCTGAGCTATGGCCTTTTTCAGGGCCTCTATATTTCTACGTTATAGAATTTCTACGCTACAGAATTTCTTTAAAGGTCCCAAAATGGTGGGTAAAATAGGTTCACAAAGATTGAAATATTTTTGAATCATGGAGTGAAATAACAGCAAAGAATCATCAATGAGTACCAATAGCAGTGTTCGGAAAATCACTATCAGCTTTGGGTCATTGAGTCTCCGCGAGAGAATAAACTTGCGTAAATCATCCAGCTGTAAACCTTCATGCAGACGTCAATTGGTAGCACGTTTAAGCATTTCGTGTTAGTTCTCCATGCACTGAACCAAATAAAACAGCAATATCAACAAATAGCGCCAAAATAAAAGGAGCGCCAAAAGGCAACAGCGATAAGTCCCTATTCATTCCGTACCCTCCAACTCCAACAACCCTTTCGATGGACACTAGGAAAAACAACAAACGGTCCTTGTCAGGGCCACCATTTAAAAAACAAAAGGGCCTTTTCAGGGCCAACAACCAACAAACAAACGGCCCTTTTCAGGGCCACCAATTCAAATACAGAAGGAGTTAAGATAATAGATTTTCGAATAATTAAAAGAACTAAGAGCAAACACGTTTGTTCCGACCACTCACGGCCTTTGCGCTACATATTCGTGATCTTAGATGTAAAGTATCCGACACCAGTTTCTCTTACCATCGGCCTATACTTACTGATATAGGTCAGTAGTAATATCATCATTCAGAATTTAATGTTACAAACAAACTTTTAAAATTACAGGTATCAATAATCACTATTTTTCATCAGCTACATAGTAGCTGCTTGGTAGGCATAGTAGGTGTTCAAGGCTGTCCCAAACGGTGAAAAGGACACCAGAAAAAAAAAACAAATAACGGCCCTTCTTAGGGACACCATTCGAAAAACAACCGGCCCTGTTCAGGGCCATCAATTCAAAAACGGAAAGAGTTAGGATAATTGATTATCGATCAATAAAAAGAACTAAAGGCTCAACCTATTTTTTTCAGTCTACTAGCGATCCTACGTCAAGCTTCCGTTCGTGCCCTAGGCACAAACCCTTCCACTTTTTCTATTGTACTTGGAAGGTTAAGTTTAACCCAGTTTAATCTTCTCATTGAATGTTGAAGCAAATTGAAATCTTATATGTGACATGAGCTCTATGAATGTATTTTCTTGAGACCAAAACAAAAGAAAACCATAATCTCAGTAGGCCTATAAGTTTAAGTAAGGACTTCTGATTGTAAAATGCACCCCTGGGACAAAATTACTTTTCGGCATTCAAAATAGGTTTTTCAAATTTTTTCGCGTATCTGTGATTGAGCATTGCTAGTGTAATGTCTCAAATAGCAATGCTGTTAGATTGATCCGTGAACATGTTTTGGGAATGGATTTAAAATTGGAAAAAAGGAATTTTGTCATAATGCTAATTTTGGACACATCGCCTCAATAAACTAAACCATTCAAATGCCATAAACACTACCAAGTTCTAAGCTCAATTCCATAAACTAATTTATCCCAATTCTTACCTCATTCCAGCAAGCTTCCTCCACACAACAAAACATTCGAATCGAACGAAACCAACCGCCCAATCAGAATGATTCACCCCCGAATAATAAACGGCGCGTGAGATCAACAATTATCGATCATATCAGCCTCACCTGAGCCAACAACAGCCTCCAAGTCTACGGTTGAAGTCATCAACCCTCCCTATCGGTTCCGCTCATCGCAGCAGATCTAGACATCATTGACATCATTCTCCAATCCCCGAGTGCACGCGATGAATAAACTGAAAAACTTGCTCCACCACCCAACAGCCGCCGCAGCCACCACCACCACCACCGTCAGCTCCACTGATGGTGGAGCAAAGGCAAACAAAGCCAACAACAACGAGCGGCTCGCACCGGAGGTCGGCTTCAAGTTGGTACTCGATCCGGGTTCGAGTTTCAGCTACGATAATGGCGAAGCTGACGGCGATAATAACAATCCATCACCGCCGCCACCGCCACAGCCGACGGCTGTGCCGGAGCTGCAAGTTCATCTGGTCGGCGCTCGCCATCTACCGGTCAGCTTTGGGCTGAAAAGCGTCGAGGGGTATATGATTAAGATCAAGCTGTTTCCCGGTACGGCCAAGTTTGACTCGTCGATTCAAACTACGTCGTGGCCCACGTTCGGGGAGACGTTTCGGTTTCCGCTGGTTGCTAGTCACAAGTGAGTATTGCGAGGGGGAATGCTGGTCCTACACGCAAAACTATCGGCATGTGTATTTAATGTCAGGGTCGGTTTCTTACATTTTCTGAATTTTTTTCTTACAACGAATGTAATGTTAGCTTTTACAGTGCACAGTGGGTCAGGAATGAAATGTACACAGCAAAAAATTAATTTTAATATCACATCAAAGTGGATGCACTTCAATCGTGTCGAAAATATGGTGTAATATTACTTGCCAAAAAGGGAAAAATTATCATTAATACAGTGCATGTGCTGACATTACGTTGCTTTTACTGCATTTGTTTATATGTGTGGCCATAAAAATTACATGAGATTTTCGACATGATTGAAGTGCATCCACTTGGATGTAATATTAAAATTTATTTTTTGCTGTGTAGCAGGCAAAAAATAATAACGATCTGGGATTGCATCCAATTGAGTTGACGTTTTGAGTAAAGCTTCTTGGATAAGTTGGAACGACAATTTGGTGTATAATAATAGTTCAAGTTTTGGCATTTGAAATTCCAAAATTCCATTGAAGCATCTCTGGAATACGGCCTCCAAGATACATACCCATTGGCGTAGCTAGCTAGGGGGCCAGGTGCCCTCCAGAATTATCCAGCCCCCCAGGAAGTTTTGGTGTTTTTTTTTATACACCGTTATTTTGTCAAGCAATTTCGAGGTAACTTTTTATTTTTATTGATTTTTATGCATGTTCACTTTTCTAAGTGTTCAAGAAGAAATAAAGTCGAGAATTTATATTATATCGACATTTGATCGTTAGCATAATAAGATGTCTTCAGCAATGTTGGGAAAATATCAAAAAATCAAATCTCACCAACGCCCAAGATCACGCTTGATTTTCGTAGACAAAAATCAACAAGCCAACAACTGCGGTTGATTTTGCAAGCTGTGATATCGCAGCTCGGAATATCAAGCTAACACAACTCACCAATTGCAAATCTCACCAAACTGTGGTGAGATTGAGTTTAATGATTTTTGCTTTACACCCGAATGCAACCGAAACTTCCATAACGGCTTGCAGCAGTCCCTTCGCGTCTGTCATCGGTGAAGATTAAAAAGCGATAGCAAACTATGCTTTCTCTTTCTAAGAAAACGATGTGCAATGGTATCATTTTTGTGTCGAGTCAACTCTCAGCTTGATTTTTGCACGTGTTGAATAGTCTCGCAATATCAAAGGAGCTTGTAAAATCAATATCAAGCATGATGTTTTGTTCCAATATCACGCGTGATATTGCGAGCGCATGAGAGCGGAAAAATATCAATTGATTTCTGATTTTGCCAACACTGGTCTTCAGGCTCTTTTAATTGGCCAAGAGTTCAGGGAATTCTCTTCCTTCCATTAATAACTCAACTTAAAAAGCATTCCCTGCTGTGTTCAACGTTTTAAGCACAAGATAGGAACTGATGAAGATAATCGATCAAAGCAGATAGGACTATTTGAAATGCTCATCGAGAATTTTCTTTAACCTCAGGGAACTTCGTAAAACTTCAAGGACTTCTAAGAAGTTCAGGGAACATTGTTGAAATTAATAAAACTAGGAACTTAATGGAGCTTCATAAAAAATCGTAGACACTCAGGGCGCTTTGGAAAATTTCAGAAAATTGCGTTGAAGTGGGAACTCTATTTAAGTTTTGGGATCTTCGTAGATGTAAGACATTATTTAATTTAAGTGAACCTCATTATTGTTCGGGGATCTTCATATAATTTCAGAATACTTGTTCTCATGAGCTTGGAATAGGGCAGGACACAAAGTTCAAGAAATTTCATACGCTGAAAATCAACGAGAAAAGTAGAAGTGCAGGAATTTCGTGGCATTTTGAGAAACTGGATAAAACTTCATATAAATGCAGAGAATTTTGTAGAAGATCTAAAACAATATTTCAGCCAACTTTTAAGATCTTCAGTTTAAGGAACTGCGTTGCAGTTCATCAGAGATCTTACTTCAAAAAAGCTCAATGCACTTCTAGAAAGTTTTGCGAAATTCGTTAAATTTCAAGGAACTTTCCAGGTGTTCAAGAATATATTTATGTAGATGATGGAGTCTTTTCAGAAGTAGTTAAGAGAAATGGAAAAAAAAATTGACATAAATTCAGGGAACTTAGTAGAAGTTGAGAAAATTTTGTAAAGCTTAAGGGAGTTTTGCAGATGTTGAGGGAACGTTGCATAGGTTACACGATATTATTTCAGACATCCTTCATAAACAGCAGGTAAGATTCAAAAGATCTTCTGCACTTTGACTATATGTTTAGTATTACTTCTGCGTGAAGTCAACGATTTACATAGTTGAAGATGCTAATTTGAAATAACAGACTGTAATACTAAACATATAGTCAAAGTACATAACTCTGGATGGGAGCCTACCATCATTTACTGTCATTGGTCAAAAGGTACAATAGCAGCACCTACCCCACAGCCGGCGCCGGTGGTGTAGTGGTAAGCGTGACTGCTTTCTAACACCCCGATGGGTCTGGGTTCAATCCCAGCCGAGGTCGGTGGGATTTTTCTGAGGCATAAAAATCTCTGGTCACGTCTTCCTTCGGAAGGGAAGTAAAGCCGTTGGTCCCGGCCCATGTGTGTTGAATGGGTGCGATATCCTACGCAGGTGTGGAAGCTGCCTTCCTGCACATTCGATTGCCATCAATGGATGGCAATCGATGTTCGTCGGTGATTGGCACTAGATTGCGGAACAGAGACCGACGTTAAATAAAGGAAAAAAGCACCTACCCCACCCATGCCCCCTCAAGATCGTCAAGTCGACGATGACAGGAGCACATATCGTGGTAGGGGTAAACAATAGTTGCAATTTCCAAAACCTACGACTGGATGTCTTCCTTCAAATAACAACTGAAGTGCGGTAAAAAATCGGTAGAACTGTTTCAAACACATCGTTGGTACTTGAGCGGTCGGTTTTCATCTCTTTTTGTCAGTGGTGGCTAGGGGGGGCCACCCCTTACCATCCCTCTCCAAAAGGGGAAGTTTGGTAAAGAGAGATGAAAAAACCGATTTGTACCTTCCTTAAAAGTTGTCTTAGCTCGAAATTCTACTATCAATATGGAATTTTCACACTGCCGTACTCTTACGGGACTATCAACTCTATACTTTCATCTATTCCATCTATCGTATAAAAATTACCACTACAGTCTGTTATTAATTAGCATCTTCAACTAAGATCTTCTGGTTGATCAAGTTCTGCAGATCTCCAACTGTTTGAAAATACAAATGAAGTCTGTCATATATTCTCTCTAGACTGCAGGTTGATCAAAAAGTATTCAAAAGTGCTCCAGCTAAAAGAAACTTATGAAATCTTAAATGGTGAATCTAGATTTCATGACGTGTTAGTACATTTTTTATAGGAAAAACTGGTGACTTAGCAATTTTTTTTCAAGAATTAGCGCGATATAGTGTGTATGGTTTAGAACATTGAACATTGATAATATAAAAAATAAAAATAAAGAAAAAGCTCTTATCCGTATAAAGGACGAGTAAATAATAAATTGGCACCGAATGAGTTCAACCAAAACTAACTCAATTTCAAATAAATACTTAATATAACCCAATAAGCTTTTGTAGAAAGTAATTCAAACAGGGGCACAATCATACAAGTTAGGAGTTCATTCCTTTCGATCGGAATTAAAGTTAAATGTGGGACTTCAATCTAGATTTTATATCAAACTCCGTGATCTCGCAAGCTAGGTTGTCCGAGGTATAGAAAAAATTCTAGATAAATGCTTTATAATTTTCTTTTTTCATCAACCATTAGAATCTGGAAAGCATGTGAGTTTGGGATCTCAAAACTGTTAATGACTATTATTATTTAAACTTTCAGAATTCAGGATAGTTCATTGACATATATTTTGAACTATTTCCTATGTCCTAAATGTATTGATTATTTGTACACATTGCACAGTCGTCCAGAAAGCACAGACGTGAGTGACTACCGACTGAGTCGGACGTGTGTGCTGTTTGCTGCTGCGTTCAGTGCTGTTGCTGGTTCGAGGAAAGTGTTCGACAGAAGGCTGGTCCGGTAATACGGATTAGGAGGCCGATTGGTGGAGTGATACGAAGATAAGGTGGCGGTTAACATCCGCAGGTGATGCGCTATAATTTGCGTGACGGTTTCAATCGGTGGCGGTGATAGAAGAAGAAAGAAAAAGCGTGATTGAGACTGGTTTTGGCAGGATTGCTGCTGAAGGGGCGAAGGGTCTACGCGGGGAGGCCCAGTGTGCATATGTGTGCGAGGGGAGCGGAGAATTGTTGATTCCACGACGAACGGTAGCGATAATTTCGAGTGCGAGAAGGCAGGAAAGGGGAAGAAAAGAAGAAGCTGATAGTGCGGGGAAAATAAAAATCCAAAAAGATAGCGGCAAACAGTAGTGTGTGAGTGAGCACCCTAAAGGAATACAGAGTAAAGCGGCGATGAAATTCTGTGAGACGAAGAGAGTAGAAAGAGAAGCAAAAAGAAAACGGTGAAAGAGAGCGGCAGCGGTTTTAATTGTAGAAGAGTGAGTGCCACATAGGTGTTTCATCTTCTCGTAGTAGGGGTTAAAAGAGAAAAAGAAGGAGAAGAACAGTGAAGTCCGACCGCAACGCGGTCCGCAAGAAAATAGTTTCCCTAGAAGCCCTTCAATTTAGTGAAGAGGAAGAAACTGCTGAGTGGTTGCGATGATGCGCGTTGGTGTCGGCCAAATGTTGTAAAGGATCGTGATCGGATTTACCGTGAAATACCGATTGGAGCTTATGGCCATTAAGGACAGGTAAGTAGTTGGTCCATCAAGGTAAGATAAATTAATAAACATATAAAGTATCCGTTCGATTTTGGCAACACGTCCTCAGTATATTTAAACTGCTTGTGCTCTGCAGTTATATTATTAAATTCTGTTTAATAATTTTCTTAGATTTTCAGTAAAATTCTGGAGCTTTAAACGTCACCTGCAGGCCTGTTCTGCGAGTAGTATGGCTCTTTGTCGCTAGTAGG